GGCTGAGCTTTATTTAATATAATTCAGAATAGACAAATCTGTCTATTTTAAAAGGAACTGGGACTGCTTAAAGCTATGCTATTTTAAACGCTTGGTGCCCTACTTTGAATGCACACTCTGCTGCTTCCGCGCCTGCTTCGGAGTCCTTGCATCGTCCTACATGTACGACCAGACAAGGAATCGACGACAACTAATTAAGTGGAAAACCCGAGTTTCCTAACTTGAATTATCCTGTACTATTTTGCCTTAAGAAACTGGAGTACCTCTCCACTATCCGCAATGCCTAGAATATTAAATACACTTTGCCCCACATTATTCTTTTTGGGGGTCGCAAACCAGAGTACAATCCGATTCGATTGTAATTAACCCATGCCAGCTCAGGAGAAGCCACAAAAAATATCCTCATACATCCTCGTTTCGCTGGAACACAGTTCATGTGACTCAACTTGTCTCCACGGCAGCTAGGAAGGCCAAATTCGATCATCTTGTAACATAAACTAAATACTGGGTCAGAATATATGTACAGCAGATCATGCACTGAATCCTTTTTTATAAGATTCTTTTGCTCCTTCCGTCCTGTACTGTAAGTTGAAAAAGACCAACCTTGAATGCTTTGTCCTCACCGTTTCTTTTTTTCAATCGTGGAAAAACTGTGCAAATGGAAGAGCAGTGGAGATAGTGGCGTTTCGCAAATTTGAGAGAGAAATCAAAGGCCCTTATCAAGATGTAAGTCCAGATTTTTGGTAGACTGGGGTTTTTTGATTGTCGGTGTCACTTCGAATTTTCCTCCGATGGTGGAGACAGACGCCAGACTTCCTGCAAGGCAATGTAAACACAAGTGGTCAGCGCTAGCTCGACAACAGGACACTCCAAATGGTAAACAACAGCCAGCTTCATGCGCATATCCTACCGATGGGAGCCCTAAGCGGAAAGGATTGTCATGTTTGATTTCAAAGTCCGCACTACTTTAAGCGATTCTATACCAGAGCGGTTTGTTTTAAGCCGCTGTTGTACTATCAATATGAGGAGAATCAATTTAGTGGTTATCCAAGGCACTTTTTGGTTAGACTGAAATGGGAATCAAAGCCGTCTTACCGTGTCTTAAAATGCTATTGTAGAGGCAAATTATTGTACGTACGACGGCTTACAACGACCACTATCTTTAATTGTTCTTTTTGATTCAAAAAAGGGAAGAAGCAATGTCAAAACCAACATCGAAAACTTACTCTTGTGAACCACTGTAGGAACGTCTTGATTGGAAGTAACAAAAAGAACACAGCATTTGGAATTAATGTCAAAATTTAATACGAGCTATATCAGGCAAAAACGTGCCAACAACATCAACTGCATTGAATTAGTATACTTACGATTGCGAGGTAGAACCGAGGAGACATCATAAGCTAAAGGCGAAATAACAATTCCTTAGGCTTTTTAGCAACCGATTTAAAAGTGCTGCGAGCACTTTCTCCTTTTGAACGGAGAAAGGCAAGAATCAGCAATCCTATTCATAGACGTGGAGCCAGTAAAGGTGGCTCCAAGACTTACACTTTGTGCCAGAAAGAGTAGTGAAATTGAGGCACAATCGACTTCACCCCGAGGGAGGAAGAAGTGAGCGTACAAGCAAGAGTGACGTGGATTGGCAAAGATGATAAATGATGGGGACTTCGATCTCTAAGTTATTTGCTAAACGCGTACAACTTTTACTCGGTTTGGCAATACCAAAAGAATATCATATTTCTCTTTCAAAGGAATGGGCAGACTGCAAAGCGCAATGACGTTAATAGAATGGGAAAAGAAATTTATTTCACTTCGAAAACCGCATACTAATTCCATCGAATGACGCCTGCAACTACATCTGCGCATATGTAGGACGTTAAAATGCAAGTAGTTTCCTTCTGGAGAGGCATGACTAATATCGAAATCTAGAAAACGGATAAAATTAAAAGCTACCGCTTCGTGAAATCTGTTGGTGCTGTTTTTGCTGCGAAGGCTGCTGGATTGTCGTGACATTGCTGGGAACAATGCAAGGGGGCCCTTCTCCGAGTAGTCCACTTCCATCCGATTCAATAGAGGGTACACGAGAGAGAACAGAGGGCTCATCTCCTAGCACCTTAGCCGATGCCACCTCCTCAGGGGTCCGCTGCGATGGCCACGCTGACGGACCTAGTTCCGTCTCCAAATCAGCTTTCGCCATAGATGCAGGCACTGGCGGGTGTGGAGATGAGAAACGCCGATTCAGCAAATTCTGCCAGAATTTGGTACGTATTTGACGCTGATTCTGTTGGTATGCAAAACGTGTTGAGGGAGGAGACTGGAAAGATACAGCCTTTTCGGGATCTGTACTTGCACTTGCTGCAAGTGCTTGAGGGCATGATTGCTCTAAGGCATGGTCTCCATTTTCAGCGGTTAAGATCTGTCTTGGTTGCTGGTAGTGCAGGGGCCCAAGAGTCTCGGTATTATCTGGTATTGTATTCTATAAAGAAAAAAGGGAGGGTCTAAGCGCAGAATAAGCAGCACTGGAGGTGG